GTGGCAGTTTTCTATTTTCTATACTGCTTACACTTTTTTCTTCCTGGCCAGTAGAGAACTGCAATTGATTCACCTGATACATATCTATGGGCAAACCCTTATTCAAAATGTACCATGTGTTAAAGCCACACTTTGTCAAATTTCTCCTTGGATCCAGAATCATATTGTTCACTTACTTTTTCCTGTAACAGGTGTGTTGTATGTTTGAATAATAGATGACAACAGCCCAGTAGAGAGAAGTTCTTAGAAATTCAGCATTAAACTTTTGTGCAGAAACTTCTTAAAACACCATAAGCAAGAAATTGGTGTGAGGCAACTTCTGTTCAAGTGTGCTGTGTAAACTACTTTGGGATTCTATAACGTAGACCAAGCTGACATGCTCTACTGATTTCTCTCATCAAGTTAGCATTGTCAAATCCTGTAGTAAATAGACAATGGAAAGAAAAGAAATGTTTAAGGGCCTTAGGCTTCACCTGAATTTCACAAGGAAGGAAAGAATAAATCCAGGGATCAGTAGTTCAGGGGACCAAATCATGGTCCACAGAAATATATATCTTTAGGGTTTGGTGACTTTTTGCAAAATGAAACTTCAGTCTGCTAATTTTGCCAATCCGTTAGTAGGAAATATGCCACAAAAGTTTTATTTCCTTACCCCCTACACAGAATATGTTTTTTCCTTCAGCTTATAGAAGCAACAAAAGGTTCCTTTGAAGCATGATTCTTTCTAAAATTTGCGTATTTGATCTTATTTACTTTTCAGAGGATGATCCTGGTGTGGCTAGTTTGTGCTACGTAATTGGATGTGATCTGTTCTCATATTTTACTTTGGTAGATGTGTTTAGGATTCCTTGCAAATAAAGTTCATCTCAAAATAGCAGAAGACAACTCCAAACCTGATAGAGGAAGTCTGCTCTAATGAGCTGGCCTGGTTTTAGAAAGAAATAAGGGTGATAAGAGACTGAACTACTGCAGTAAAATCTAATTGAGTAGGTCAAGGCTGATAGGCCATAGGTTGGAGAGCAAATTTGTACTTAGACCATTTCATTTTAATATATATACATACATACACACACATATATATATATAATTCATAAAGAAATTTTAATTTTGATGTCTCTGGTTCTCTTGTGGCCAGAGGATCCAGAGATTTCCTGAACTTCCTATTCATGACAGCTAAAAAAGTAATCAGATCCTTATAAATTGGAAAAAAGAACATCTTTATTATGCTCCCTTTTGCATAAGAAAGATAGGGAAATAAAAATATGTACATGTATTTGCTCATGTGGGAAAAACAATGCATACAAGAAGAATAAAGTAGAGACCAATGAGACTCATTACCTATAGGACATTGTTGGAAATGGAGCGAAAAGGTAAAAGTAGGGGGTCCAAGGGAAGATGACACTTATTTTTGGAACTGTGTTAATATTTCACACAGGCAAGATATCTATGTCCATATATGTAATCAACAAGGATGAGGGGCCCTAAAATTGAATACAGACAAAACAAACTACTTTTCAAATGAACAACATAAACATACTGAAGGGAACCGGGGAAATTAAGTAAATTTTGAACACAGAATTGAGACTGTATGCCCTCCCTCAGGCTAAAAAACAAAAAAAAGCTCTGAACAAGTGTTGAACTATAATTAGTAGTCTGTTTTTCACAGAGGTATGAGTTAGCAATTGCTGTACATTTTGGGACTGAGCAAAATAAAAATATATTATGGATAATGGGAGCCAGATTTCTCACTGTGAGAAGAGGAAGTTTCAGATACAAAAAAAAAGAGAAGAATAGAATATGCCCTGTAGTAATGAATTGGAATCGAATCAGTGTGAACTAATGAGGTTTTACTAGATAGATAGATAGATAGATAGATAGATAGATAAATAGATAGATAGATGGAAATGAATATAGGTGTATATGTGTATGTGTGTGTGTATGCAAACGTGTAGAGTGTGTGTACACAGACCTTCATCTGTTTCTTAATTCTGAGAAAGCCTAGAAGCAAAGACACATTAGGAGCAGTAAGCACATCCAGCTTCTACCTAGATCTTGTTTCTAAACACTGTTTTCTATTAAAAGCAACTCACACTTCTTAGAGAAATGACTGGTTTCATGATAGAGTAGGGAACATGTTATTCTATCAAAAATTAAGGAAGTAAGCAAAGAATTGTGTGGACATGTCAAAAAGACATAGAAGTCAGCTTAAAGAGGCTTCCATAGCCAAGCCTGGGATAATTTGAGCATCAAAATAAATGACAATTGTCTACGGCCATGCTACCTTGAACAAGCCCAATCCTGTCTGATCTCAGAAGCTAAGCAGGGTCAGGCCTGGTTAGTACTTGGATGGGAGACCACTTAGGAAGACCAGGTGCTGTAGGTGTAAAAAATTTTAAAAATAAGAGATTGTAAGCTGACAAGGTCCTTGCAATCTGTGAGGTCAACCAAGGGGTGCCTTGCCTAAAAAAAAAATTTTTAATTAAATAAATAAATAAACAAATAAGTAAATAAATAAATGACAATGAAAGATTATAACCTATTGAATAAAATAAGAATCCATGAGTCCAGAATGATATAAGCAAATACTGAATGAATGAGAAAGGTAAGCTCTTCTTTACTGTAGAAAGTCAACTTATAAATGTAGTTGAAATGATGTAACTAGGGAGAAAATGCCATTTGGCAAACCCCATCATAATTGTTATTGCTTCTGGCAAGAATAATAGATCCTGAAACTAGGAAACGAAAGTTTAAAGAGTAACAATATATCTCCACAGCCTCAAAATATCTCCCCACAATATACTTATTAAGTATAACCTAATTGCTCACTCTATAGAACTTATAGTCTAGTAGGGAAAATAAGTCTAGTAACTTTAAAACAAGGCAGCAAATTGTGAACACCATTAGAGAGTCATAAATGAGGTCATGAGAATTGGGCAAGAAGGGTGGAAGCAGAAGAGGTCATGTAAAACATGGCATTTGAGATGGTCCTGAAAGATTAGATAGAATTTTAACAGATGGAGGTGGAAAAAAGATACTTCAGGTTAAGAAAGAAACAATAAAGTTTTGAGAAATATTACGTTTTGTTTTTTTTTTTCCTTATAGCCATCTTACCTAAAAAGAATTATCACTGATTATATTAATATTAAGATTACATAAAGAGTCAATTAACATTGACTTTTTAGGTGAGTGATTATGACTTCTATAATGACCAGCTGCTGCCCTAATCAAACATTTCTAATTATTTTTAATTAAAAGTTATTTTATTGGTATGGATTATCTAAAGGCAGTACTCTAAATACAATTATAAATCTTTTTATGTTCAATATTAAATGCTTTTGCCCTATCAATTTGTTTTATAAAATTCCTATTTCATAAATTCTTGTGTAATTTTTACCTATCTGAGGCTCAGTCGGATTCTTTAATACATGAATTATTCCCTAGTTTCAAAAAAAATAAAATAAAATAAGAGACTTTTAAAAAGCTAGACTAAGGATATAATTTCACTAGTATTAGTTTCTTTACAGACTAGACTGTGACCTAGACACCAACTTTTTCCTTTCTGAGGTATGAAGCACACTTTGGGACTAATTCTTTGCTGGATACCTTTATAAATTTAGGCTAGAATGTTATCATTTTAGACTTCGTTTGCTAGAAATGTGGCCTACTCCATTTACTTGTAACAGCTCATTTGCTTTCTTTTTCATTTTTCTTTGCTCAAGACAATAGCACTGCCACAAACTATATGGTTAGGTTAACGCTTTCATTGCTTTTTAAAAACCTCTTTTCTAACCCAATTCTTTGCCAGGTATTGTCCTCATACTTTCTCATAGTGTCTTTGAAGTAGATTTTAACAGTACTTTTCCATGAGAGAAGAAGAGTGTGTAATATGCTTCTTCATACAGCATCATTAATAGAAAGAGGCTAATTTTATCCTAAGTGATAGCATACTCTGTGTTAAAAACTTGGTAAGGGAAAAGAAAAATGGAATAGATGGCTCCTGAAATTTTTTCCTGTTCAGTTGAGAGGTTCAGATTTTTTCCCCTTTAAATAGTCAACAAATGAAAAGTAGTATTTGGAATTACCACTGTCGTCTTCTTGCTTGCCATCTTTGGTTTAATGTCTGCTTCTCTGTAAAGATTAACACATTTTCCATTCATGATTTACTTGTCAGAGAATTTAGGAGTTTTCTGGAACCTGAAGTCTGCCTTTGGTAGTGTTGCTTATTGGATAATTGCCTATTTTTTGGTGGAATTTCCATTTTTAGATTACGCCAGGCTCTACGGCCTTTATTTCTTTGGTGAAAGAATCCAAAAGTGATGGAGTATATATTTTTTTCCCTTTCCCCAGCCCAGCTTAAACAATTATTCACTTGGGCCCTGGGGCTTTGCTCCATACTTTCATTCAGGGGCCACTTTCTACCCTTGTTCTTATTTGCCTTTAGTGTTCTATTTGGAACCTTTTTATATCCTTTGGCACATGGACTCTCCTCTGAGGTTATTGTCAGAGAAGTATTCAACACCACCCCCAAACTGGAACAGACAATCTAGTTCTGTCCCACAAGCCATGTTGTTCCTATAGCAGCTGATATAGGTCAGAGAGTATGAAAAGAATATCTTTAAGGAAACATAATTCCAAATAAGGTAGGGGGAGAAGTAGTCTCTGAAAAGATACGAGTGCCAGTGTCATCCAATTTAAGACTGAAAGATTTCTCTCCATATGAAATGCTCTAGTGACTGATGAAAGCTCCCTCGGTATATATATGTGAGAGGTGAGAAGCACTCAGGGGAATTAGACTCCGACAGTTTTCAGAGGGATGTGATTATGTGAAGAGACTTTCTTATAGAAGGGTTTGGTCTAATCTATAGTTTAGAGTTTTGTTGGAGAAAAGATATTTCCCCACTTTTTGGCAGTGGTTCCATCTGGTCTTGATTTTTCATTCTGATTTCAGACTTCCATAACCAGCCATCTAATGATGATTTCTTGATCTTTTCTCTATGCAGTTTTAACAGTGTATGTCAGGGAACTCACGTTCTCTTTCGGGAATTCAGCTTCATCCAAGCCACCCCTCACAACAGGGCATCGTTCTTACGGGCCTTCTGGAGATGCTTCCGATCGGTGGGCAAAAATGGCGGTAAGTCTTCCCAAATTATTTTCTTCCTTCCAGACTTCTTTCTTTTGTTCCTATAAATATTGTTGGAGTACATGCTATCCAAGGCTGTAGGCACAACTTACTTTTGAGGAGCTGTTTGTCTTGTGTCAGAGATACTACCTTCATTTCTACCACCATCACCACCATTAATGAGTGTGTTAAGAGCTATAAGCACTTTACATGTACTAATTCATTTACTCTTCACAACATCTCTCTGTGGTAGATACTGTAGCTCCCATTTTATAACCAGTGAAACTGAGGATCAGAGGGGTTAAGCAACTTGGCAAGGTTAAACAGTAAATGCTGGGGCCAGATTCATACCCAGGCAGTCTGGCTCCAGAGCCTTTGCTCTTGGCAAATATTAAAATACCATGCAGTGAATTCAAGAATGATGTGAATGCAAAGGAGGAAACTCCTGAGTCGGGGGTGGGATGCGAATACACTTGTTAGAAAAGGG